CCCCAAAACCCCAAAACCCCAAAACCCCACTAGATTAATTTTTAATCGACAAGGAAACCATAATTATCATAATTCAAATTACTAATTTAATGGAAAGGAATAAAAAAATTTTAGTTATAGGAGATAGCTAGGTTGGAAAATCAACTCTATTCCAAACCTTATTTAGCAGCTATGACAATTTCTAAGAGGAGATTGATATTAAGGTAAAGAAAGAATTCCCAAAATAAACTGTGGGATGCATGGTTCATGTGCATCATTTAAACTAATACTACAAAGAACTCAATATATCTGACCAATATACTGAAGGTAAATTCCATCTCCACTTAATCATTAAGATTAGTAGACATCTCATAATACAGGCATATCCACAGAAGTAGATTTTTTTCTTGAGTTTCACGATATATAAGGCTTAGCACTCTAAAATCAAGGACAAGGAGCATGGATAAAAACGTATTTAGGCTAAAACTATGATGGAGTTATAATTGCGTTTGACCTTAATAACCTGAAGTCGCTTAACAATTTATAAAGTCACCTAAAGCTACTTACATTAGTGAATCAGCAGAAACGGAAAAATTCGCAAAGTATGGAAATAGAGTCTGAAGATTTTCAGACTATGGGTTCAAATCAAAATATTTAGAGAGCAATAAAGTCAATGCCTGTCTTGGTAGTTGGTTGTAAAAAGGATCTAGTTGACTAAAACAGAGCCTAATACTTAGTGATAAATATTAAAGTCATGAAGAAAATAAAGGAGATAGATCCAGATAATCAGATTTAGTACCTCGAAACAGGTATCAATGGCCTCGGAATTAGACAGATTAATCATGATGACTTCAAACTATTTGTATAGAAAGTTTACGGAAATATTATTGAGTTGAAGTTTGATGATCATAGTGAGTTTATTAGATAGAAGTTATAAGGGAAGTAATAAGCAAGTATAAACTAGAGTTAAGGATTATTTGGAAGGTTTGGATCTTCAATTAAAAATATGATATTTACAAAAAGTAACACTCAAGAGTTGCCAATGTGAAATCTTAACCATAATATCTCACTTCAGTAAATTGCTTTTGGTTGATTTTTTATGGTATTTAGCTATTTCATTTCTAACTTTTGAGTCTCTCTTAAACTTGGTCAAATATTTCAATTTATTCTTCTTTGGTCTTATTGTCGAAGACGCCTTCCTTATCCATAAGTCTCCATAGATCCTTCCTAAACTTATACTCTTGGAAAATTTGATATGCCTGGTATGTATTAATCATGCCTCCAGAGTATAAAATGAGTGGCACTCCAACTAGTATAACCTTTATTGGAGTTGGTGAGGTGCTATAAGCATGATAATTCTTGTATGAAAAGAACCCACCAAATAGGAAAAATAAAGGAGCTGAAAATAATTTGCATGCAAGGCAATAATCTTTACTGATTACTATATCTTAAGGTGTATTACTCATTTTTATTATTAATTTATTAATGGCTTAAATTTATTATTATTTCCTGATGGGGTTTTGGGGTTTTGGGGTTTTGGGG